GGAGGAGGGTAGACGTTGAGGAGGAGGAGAGAGGAGAGAGGAGGAGGAGGGTAGAGGTTGAGGAGGGAGGAGGAGGAGGAGGAGGAGGAGGCCTCTCCTGGGCCATGCATGCCCCGCGCGCGCCCCAGAGGCCTCCCGAGCGGCCTCCGCGGAGGCCTCCACGGGAGGCCCCTGGAAGCTTTTCGGGCGGCCCTGGACGGCAGCCGCGAGAGGCGGGGGCAGGAGTTGAAGAATCCGAGGTGCCTAGGGGGAGAGATCAATAATTCACGACGTATTCAGCATCGCGGCTCTCGCGCAATACTTTCCCGCACTGTGTTCAGGAATCGCGCTCTCGCACGAGGCGTCCTGGGGGATCGATCTTCGAGGACCTCGGGAGGCGGTTGAATCGGCAGGTTCACGTCGTGCCGACCGGCGGCGACTCCAGCACGTGCGTTCAAAGCTGAACGCCGCCCGTGGTCCAGAATGGGCCCGTCGTTGAAGGATCCAGCGTTAACGGAACGGCCGATCTTTCAAGTTTGAAGGATCCCCGCGGTGTCAGGAACCAACGCTGCGGTCGACACAACGCGAACCTGCCGTATGTGTGGACCAAACATGCGGTCGGACCGAGGTATACGATCGAGGTCGGTTCGGGGAGGGTACCCTCATGTTCTTCGTGCTTGCTGGATGTTCTCGTGCATCTTGGGGGAGGGCACCCTCGAAGGTTCTCCAGTTCGGCCAGCGGACAGTCTCCTGGTCTTGAAAGATGTTATGATGTCCTTTGTCCGGCTGTATCCACATCCGCCGCTGCCTGGGGTCCCAGGAAATTGGTTCACCAGGCGGTGGGATACGCACGACTCGGCCTCGCAACGAGGAAGCAGTGTCACAAGCATGCATGTTCGGAGTTCCGCACGGGTGTCTTGGATCGGCCTTGGGCCCTGCTGGCGGCGCCCCCATCGCCACCTCGGGCGCGCTCCGCGCGCCAGGGAACGGGGGTCCAACGCCGACCCAAGACATCCGCGCGGACATTCGAAAGCTTCGCTCCAATATCCCGAAGCTGCAGCGATCCACATTCGTTCTGGCTCCAGGGGCGCCAGGCGCTCGCGGCTGGAGCCCGCGCACACCCGCACCCGGGCGGCTGGCCGGAAAGGCCTGGCCGCGATGCAGCCCCGCCTGTTTCGGCTGCGGCTGCTGGAGCTCGCTGCCGAGTACGAGGCCCAGCACGCAGCGGCTGCTCGCTCCCCCCGCCCGAGCGCGTTCGCCTTCGCCGAGGCGCCCGCCGGCCCCAGCGAGGACGGGGCGGCGGAGCGCAGCGGCGGCGGCGGGCAGGCCCCCACGGCGTGCTCGTCGGCGGCCGCCGGCTGTGCGGAGGGCCCCCGGCTGCCAGGAGGGGACATCCTGGTGCGCCGTGTTCCCCCAGCTAGGGGGCCACATGTGAACCCTACCCCTACCCCCCACGATTTCTGAGGGGGAGGGTGGGGTTCACTTCGTTTGGGAGCTCCCGAGCGAAGTGAACCCCACCCTCCCCCTCAGAAATCGGGGGGGGTAGGGGTAGGGTTCACATGTGGCCCCCTACCAGCAGAGCCGCCGAGGCATCCCGTGGAAGCCTCGGACACGGAGGTTGCCGTCGCAGAGCTGGCGAGGAGTTCGAGAGCAGGTTCAGAGGGCCTCTCCTCACGGCGGTGTTCGAGCCCCGAGGAGGGTTCCATTGCCAACATCCGCCAGAGTTCGGTATCGCAGGGTACTGAGGCGTCGGCTTTGCCGTGGACGTTTTCCGCTTCCTTCAGAGAGAAAACCAAGTTCAGCAATCACGTGAGAAGGTCGGCGATAAGGAGGACGACGGGACAATCGCAGCAGCTAAAAACTAGAGGCCCTCTTGCCGTGTTTGTGAAGAGCCGTTTCTTCAGCGTTGCATCCGCATCCGTGATTTTGGTGAGCACAGCGTTGATTGGCATCGAGACCCAAGTTCTTTCCAGTCTGTCACACCAAAGGCCAGACTCGGATCACCTCTTGGTTATGCTATCAGTATCTAATCACTGTCTCACGTTTCTGTTCCTCGCGGAGGTGGTACTGCGGATAGGCGTCTTAGGAATCATGAACCCCAGGGACAGGCTGTGGAATCTATTCGACATTGCCATCTTGCTTCCAGCGCTCGCCGAGGTTGCTCTTGACATCGTCGTGCGCGCGTTCTTTGGCAAGGATCGCAACCTCTTCGAGAACGGTGGAATGGCGAGGATGTTGCGCCTGTTCCGCCTTACCCGGCTTCTCCGCATTATTCGAACGATACGCCAATTGAAGCCTTTGCGAGTGCTTGTGCACTCTATAATATCTGCCGGCAAGTCAGTTTTTTGGGCTCTCACGTTGCTCGTCATGATAGTGTTTGCCTTTGGAGTGATCTTGACGCAGGCTGTGTCTGAGCATACTGTGGGCGGCACGCAAATTGCTGATAGTGACCTAATCAAGTATTACGGAGACCTTTCCCGGTCAATGTTGAGTCTTTGGATGGCTGTGTCTGGGGGTATCAATTGGCACGAGCTCACCGCGCCGTTGAATGAAATTGGAAACGCCGGTTGGACGATGCTGTTTTTAGTATACATAACTTTCGTATATTTCTTCGTGCTCAATGTGGTCATTCTTGGGCTTACGCAACAACCGCCGACCCCTTGGGGAACTAGCCGTTGTTGTGTGTTGCTCCTGAGGGCCTCTTGTGCGCCTTTTGGGGGCTTCTCGGAGCCTTTCGGAGGCTTCATGGGGGCCTTTGGGAGGCCGTTTCGGAGCCTCTTGGCTGACATGTTCAGCATTCGCCGTGCACGCATGGGGAAACGGGCGAGAGCCCACGTATACAGACGGCGGGAATTTGTCAAAACACCCGAAGAATGATTATCAAATGGCCTTCGGCACATCCTGCCGCCGTGCCTGGGTTGCGGGTCTGAGGCCACTCGGATGGCTGATGGGGACTCGTGGGAGTCGTCTCGGGGGCGTCTTGGAGGCAGTGTTTGAGCCTCCTGGGGGCCTCCTGGGGGCTTTTTTGCGGCCATCTTGGGACTCCCTGGGGTTTGCTGGGGGCTTCTTAGGGCAACCCAGAGGCGTCTTGGGGTAGCAGACTGGAAATGTCCGTTCGGCTTCCGCTTCTGGGCCTCCTCTTGGGGCTGTCCTGGGGCCCTCTTGGGACGTCTTGAGGGCTTCTTTGGCAGTCTTGCGGCCCTCTTGGGTCGTCTTGGATCCCTTTCGGGGGCCTCTTGGCCCGTCTTTGGGCAATCTTGAAGGCCTCTCGGGCCATCTAGGACGTTGTGAACGCTCAAGAGGCGAATGTGCTGAAAACTCGCGTTTTCCAAAGGTAATTGGGCGATGTTTGCTTCTGGAGGCCCTCTTGGGATGCCTCTTGGGGGCTTCTTGGGGCGTCTTGGGGGCCTCTTGGGCCGTCTGGAGGCCAGCGTGGACGTTTTGGATCTATGTTTCAGCGACTCGTAGCCCTCGTGGAACGCCCCAAGGGCCTCTTGAGGCCCTCTTGGCCTGTTTTGGGACCTTCTGCCCCCCCGGATGCGTTGAGGCGGATCCCGGGGGACCCCCCCTCCTCCAAATCGACCGGACCAGCCAGGCTCCTGGGGGAGCCGTTTGTGGAGGGGGAAACATCTCACACGCCGATGAGAACTTCAAGGGGTCGGTGGACTGGTGTCTTCTGTCAGAACGCAATCGAAGGGGCTCAAACGGATCTGGATCTCACCATCGAGGCCCAGCTCAGGGAGAAGCAGGTTTACGCAGACCGTTTGAGAATGCTCTTCGAGGAGATGAACGCGGATTACGATGCTGAGTGCGAGGGGCTAACAGCAGCCGATATATACGAACAGATGGAGAAGCCAAAAGTGCAATCGTGGTTCAAGGCTATGGACATTGACGCGAAGCAGACGTGGAAGTTGTTCAAGGCCCTCGACACAGCAAATGCTGGCATTATCTCTCTCCAGGATTTCGTTGAGGGGTGCTTGCAGATGAAAGGGTCGGCTACCCGTGTGGACGTGGAGTCGCTCAAGTGGGAGATAAGAGCTGCGAATCAGCGCGCCGAGCGCAATGCTGAGAGAATCGCCCAGCTTCTAGAAGCCACTCCAGGATCGGGTGTCGCACCTGGCGCCGCCTGTCCCTGATCTGGTGCCGGACGACGGAGGTGGGCTAAGTGCCTCCTCGTGTTTTTCCTTTCCTCCTCGGGAGAGGGAGCTGGGTTAGGCGGGTTGCTCTGCATCAATTTTCTGTTTAACCCTCATGCCCTGATTTCGCGCCAGAGCGCGACGTTTCAAAAAAAGCGCACATTTGAGTGAACACCCAACAGGTAAAATCGTCACATCTCATCCAGAAAGTGCACATGTTCTGCATATACGATTTCTGGGTTCCATGGGTCCAATACGCCCCAAGAGCGCCCAAAGACGGCCCAAGGGAATGGCCCAAGAGCGCCACAAGACGGCCCAGAAGCCGCCCAAGACAGCCCAAGACAGCCCCAAGGAGAGGCCCAGATGGCTTCAGGACGGCCTTCGACACCCCAAGATGGCCCACCAGTTCGCCCCAAAAGCACACAAGATGCCCTCAAGACGCCCCCCTAACTGGCCCAAGACCGTCCAACGTTGCGTCTCGGACGCTCTGACGCCACACGAGACGCCGTCAGACAGTCGCAAGACGCGCCAAGAGGCCCCCAAGAGCCCCCCTTGGGGCCCCCTCGGATACAAAAATCATTCCATCCCTTGCGGGAAACAGCAATTTTCACCAAATTCGTTTTTCCAGTCTTGACAGCTTCTAAGACGGTCCAAAAGGCGCCCAAGGAGGCTCCAAGAACGTTTACGAGGCCCCAACCACGGCCCAAGAGGGCCCCAAGACGGTTCAAGGGAGTCCCAAGAGGGCCTCAAGAGGGTGCCACAGCGAGTCGTGGGGCATTATCTTGGGGGCTGTGGCTCCCAACATTCCCCAAACGTTTTCCAGGAAGCCTCCCGGACGCTTCCGAGAGGCCCTCAGAGGCTCCTGAGAGACCCCGAAAACGCCTTCCAGTTTCCCCAAGAGGCCTCCAAGAGGCCCCAAGATGCTCCCTAAGTGCTTCTGTCCTCCTACTCCTCCTCCGCCGCCGCTTCTGTTTCACGCTTTTCCGCTGCGCACTGCGGTGACAAGCTCAGGGTGGTCAGGCTTGTTCGCTGCGAGCAGAAATTCCCTAAGTGCTTCCAGGAGGCTCCCAGGAGGCCTTCCAAGTGGCCCTCAGAAGCGTATGGGACGTCTCGGGTCTACATCCTGTACGGCGTTCCCACTGAGGCTTTTAGAGGCCCCCAATTCACGATCCATTTCAGGTTTCCGGGAAGCCACTGAGAAACACGCCACGAGGCCCCGAAAGGCACACAAGACGCTTCGACCTCACGGTCCAGGTCTGGGGTGTGCCGACATGGGCGGAGCGGCGGGATGCGAACCTTGGCTCTGGGGCTGCCAGTGAAGCTCCAACATGCTCAGGGGGACGTGATGTTATGCTACTTCTCCCACTCTAAGGCCGCACGTGAGAATTCGTCCCTCTTGGGCACGATCCGTGTGAAGGGTGTGCCGAGATTGGGGGAAGGACGCCATGCAAGCTTTGTCCCTGGATCCGAAAGTGAAGCTCACGGGGGGCACGATCCGTGTGAGGGCCGTGCCGAAATTGGTGGGGGCGACGCTTTGTGAACCCTGCCTTCCTCCAGGGCCGTAGGTCCACGCTCAATCCGCGCGATATTTTAATGTGTAGTTCAGGTTCAAGCCGTTTGTGAATTACTACTTCAGTGGAGGTGTGACCGAATCGCACCACCCTGTGAATGTAAGTGGCGATGAGGAGCCCCCAGACGTCCCGCAGATCTGGCACTATATATATATATATATACATATATATATATATATATATATAGCAGTGTCTCTCTGTCTCTCTCTCTCTCTCTCTCTGTTCTCTTTCTCTGCCTTGCTTCTTTTTGTTCGTTATCGTTCTCTGGTTCTCTCTCTCTCTCTCTCTTTCTCCATCTCTCTCTCTCTCTCTCTCTCTCTTGTGTATATATATATATATATATACATATATGTGTGTGTAGACTGGCGTACAATGGACCAGGGGCCTGGGCGGGGACACCATCCCAGGTTCTCCCCACCAGAACTGCTCGGGAGGCCACCCAAAAGCGTACAGAGCGGCACAATATGGCCGAAGACGCCCGAGTATTGTTTCAAGACTGGTCAGGAGGCCCACAAGATGTCCCAAGAAGGCTGATAGATGCGCCCCGAGAGGTTCCCAGGAGGCCAAAGCTGTGCCATCCTCGAGAGGAGCGAGCATGTTCGCACTTTGGGTGTTAACAGCAGCCAGAACAGCCCCTAGAGGCCCCACAAATCGCCCAAAGACGGCCCAGGAGACCTCCGACAGGGCCCCAGGACGGCCCAAGAGAGCCCCAAGGCGGTCGGTCCAGGAGGCGCCCGAGACGGCCCAAGACGGCCCCAAGAGGAGTCCAAGAAGAGGGGAGCTCCAAGTGACATTTCGAGCCCGTGAGGCCGCAGCAGGGACCCAAGAGGCCCCCCAAGGGCTCCAAAAAGAGGCCCCAAAAGGCCCCCACGGGGCCCACATGAGGCCACAAGAAGCTTCAAAACTCGCTCCACGAGGCGCTCGAGAAGCATGCCAAGAGATCCAGAATTACAGGTATCCAATAATCATCTGGCCCTATACTCAGACACAGTAGTGGTATGGGCCGAAGGCCATAGATAAGCAAGCAATTCGTTTGGCGACGGACCCATCCTTATGCAGTCATGTGTAGTGCAGGGCGTGGGTCTCTCGTGATACGCTACGCTTCACGGGGAAATGTGGAAAGGTGGATGCCGCGGAGCACGCGTGCACGGGTGCGTTGGACTCCTTGTGCGGCACGATTTGCGTGAAGGGCCGCGCGAACACGCCCACTGAGGCTGCGAGGCTTGTTCCGAAATGGGCGGACGCCATGCGAACGTGATTCGCGTGCTAGGTGTGCCGACATGGGTGGGGGGAGCGCTGCACGAATCTGGGCTCTGGGCCTGTGGGTGATGCTTCGTATGGGCACGATCCGCGTGATGGGGTGTGCCGCACCGACCGGCCGGGGGGGCGCAGTGCGAACTTTGCTTCAGGGGCCGTAGGTGGAGATCCTTGTGGGCCACGGTCTGTGTGAGAGGTGTGCCGAAGTAGCCGGGATGGCGGGATGCGAATCTTGTCTCGGGGGCCGTCAGTGGAATCCCCTTCGGGCCACGATCCGTGTGAGCGTTGGCCGAAGTGAGCGGGGCGACGCTATGAAGCTCCCCTTCGGTGCCGCACATTGAGTTAATTGCGGGGCACGATCCGCATGAGGGGCGTGCCATTATGCGGCCCTTGTCTCTTGGGACGTGGGTGGAGCTCCCTGTTAGGCGCGAGGTTGTGCAAACGTTTAGATTACTGGCCCCGCCAGCCGTTGTAACATCGATTTGGGGGCGTGGGATGGCCTCTGAGATGTTTTCTCTGAGTATCGCAGGGGCTTCTCGAGGATCTCTCGGGGGCCCCTGGGGGCGTCTGTTGAACCTCTTGGGCTGTTTTGAGAGCATCTTGGGCCGTCTAGGAGCTTCCTCCTGGCATCGCTCGGACGTGTGCATCTTTCCTCGGCGGGGGCCATCGAGGAGCATCCCGGATCACCGACCAGGAAAGGACACGCACGGAATCGAGACACGCACGGAGAAGGGACGTCCGAGCGATGGCGAGGCCTTGGGTAACCCTCAAGCCGCCTTGGGGCTGTGCGTGGCGGATCCTGCCCCCCCCGCGTGAGCTGAGGTTGGCCAGGCAGTTCAGATGGCTGATGAGGTGCCTCGAACGGCGCCAGAAGCGTCGAAGACGCCCCAGCAGCACTCCAAGACGACACCCAAGAGAGCCCCGAGGGGCAAACATCTCCCCACTCCCCACGGGCGACGCACGTTTTCAGGATCTTCGCGCCAACAGGTTCCTCAGCAGCACACATTGCCCAAGAGGCCTCGTGGACCGCCCCACGACGACCGAAGAGAGCCCCAAGGGGATCCCAAGACGGTCAAAGAGAGTCCGCTTCAGGCGGTTGGGTCGCGGGCCAGAACCAGTAAGTATGGCTTGTCAGTCTTTTTTTTGTGAGGTGTGCTTACACGTGATATTTTCAAGGGGACACTTTTTTAATTTGTCAGCCTGCTACTGGACAGTGCAACGGGCTCACGGCCTGAATAGCCAGCAAGACTGGGCTATTTTCTCCTCACCTCATTATGTCTTCTCCTTGTATAGTTCTGGTTCTCGTCTTTACCATACGATTCCCTTCGTCCTCCTCCCCCAGATTCGGATTTACCTTCCCAATCGGTGACTGAGTGCGACGATTAGGCTTGATGATCACGCTTCCCAGCGTTCGTCTCACGTGGTGCAGATTGTTTGATCATGTTCATTCCTCGAGGAGCGGCAGGCGTCAGATGAGCTTGAGACTCGTCGGCGTCGACACCCTGTTCGGGCTCCCAGCTCGCAAGGCCCGCTTCTCCTTCTTCTTCTTCTTCTTCTTCTTCGTCTTCTTCTTCTATGGCCTTTCTTCCTCCCCACTCCTCCTCCTGCGCAACCACTGCCCCGCGCCTGCTCGCTTGCCCTGGCCTGTGAAGACGGCAGGGCCACTCGAAGTCAGTGGCCTTGCTCTGCGCGCTGTGGCTAGCATGTCGCCCCACGTGCGGGCTCCCTCGGAGCTCTCGCCAGAGCCTCGCCGAGATCTCATGGTTTCTGTCGGCCCCAGGCTACGCCGCCGGTCGTCGACCCGCTACGCAGCCTTCCTGTCCCCCATACAGGGGGATTTTTGGACGAAACATGACAAATACCCCCAAAATAGTCCCAAAATAGTCTGGGGATCATTTTTGGGGTATTTTTTTTACCTTTTGGGGGTATTTGTTTTTTATTTTTCGTCGAAAATCCCCCTGTAGGGGGACACGCCCGACTTAATTCTAGCCCTCCGCCGGCTCTATCCCGCCTTCCGCCCTGCCCAATGTGGTGGGCATCCCATGGCAGAGGCGCGCGCTTTGTCCATGCCATCAGGCTCGGTAGCGCCGTTTCGAGTGGATCTGCAAGGGCGGAGGCCCTACCTATTCCTGCTCTGCCTCCTCACGCCGCCCTCGCTCGGCCGGAGTCTCCAGCGCGCTCGGGCCCGACGCTACCAACAA